TTCAGTATACAATCAAATTGATCCGAAAATATACCTCCTTGCATTGCCCACTCTCCCTGGATAGTGTCTTGTTCTATCTCAGGAGCCACAACACCAAAATAAATATCAGAGATTTATTCCACCTGTGTGGAACTGCCAATGTTTTGACCCGACTTGCTGGTGGAAACGTTGCTGACTCCACACAGGTTGAATAAATCTCTTTGATAGTTATTTTTGTGTTACAGTTACTTATTGTTTTTCTACTCCATATGAGGTGATTGGAAGGATACCTTGGAGATCTGCACCCAAATTTCTAGCAAAGTACTGGACCTCACTATTGTTTTGTACTTTTTATCTCATAAACGTACTGTCTCAGCTTTTCTCCACTCGAGAGATTGACTTGGTTGTCTGTCTTTCTATCTATCTAAATATATATCTATATTAAAAATGTCTCCTAAGAACAATATATTTAAAACAAATAATTGTTACCATATATTTGAAATATTAGATATTTAGTTCACCTCCTAGAATGTAATACATTTTATATTCAATTGTATATTGCTGTAGAATACTATAGAAATGTCTTCTTTATCAACCTAGTTTTCTTCCTTTATAACCACGTTTTATTGCAATCTTTTGTCATCTACAGGTAATTGCTTTGATGTCCATCTACTGTGTCCAAAAAACAGTTTCAAACTGTATTATTTAATGAAAATGATAATCGCCTCAGCATTCTTCTTCCTTCTCAGAAAATCAGCTAGAAGCTTCGTTGTTTAATTAATTTGGTGATTGTCTCAACATCCGTCTACTTTCTCTTAATACTCTCCTCTATGTTTTATTTAAATAATCTGTTCAGTGCCTGATTGAATCTCCTTTATTTCTTAACGCTTCACTGCTCCTCATATGTATTCATCATGGCTGTGGCGTTAGAACGATTGTGAGGGCCCCCCTATAAAGATTATTAAGTGTGCCTCCATACTAGTTGTGATAATGACACATTCTACTATTAAAATACCTCCATGTTAAAACTCTTCTTTGGTGTATTAAATCTTATGTGCTCAACAGATTAGAGTGTAATTATAAGTGGGCACAGTGCAGTTAATTTCCGGGTCCGGTGAAGTTATTTTTATTAATCCAGCAAAGTAAAAGTGTTTCTTTAAAAAAAAATTAATTTCCAGCAATTTGTTTTAGTTCAGATGACTCAGAAGAGCAGACATGGATCTAAATGTGGTTTAATGACAAAATGGCCACCCCTCATTGAGTGCATGGCCACACCCATCACACCCCTTCTGTATGTTTATAAGTATAATACTGAAACTGAGCCTTCTACTTTATTCAGTCACTGTGACAGTTGAGGTTAAGATTTTGAATGCCTCACAGTTTTATATTAATACTGCAATAAGAGTTTTTTTTTTCTAAACTTGACTAAAATTGAGAAAATATAATGTATGTAGCTAGACTGTGACAAGTTATATATGTACATGGTATGACGCACACAGCAGCTAGTTTTTAGAGCAGGGCTGCCCAATAGGTAGATCCCCAGATGTTATAGAACTAAAACTCCCATGATGCTCTGCAATTCTAAAGGCATTCTAAAGGCATGCAAAGCATCATGGTAGTTGTAGTTCTATAACATCCTGGGCAGCCCTGCTTTAAGGTCTGATCATGCATTCAATAATAACCAGAATTGTCACTTTTTAAGTGAATTTTCATTTAAGTTACTGCTCAGAACTGATAAACATAAGCAACCAATAAAAAAAATTCATGATATTTAGCAATGTCTGGATTTTGTAATTCAGGCCAAATTTGATCCACTGGTAGGCTGAAACCTAGACTTAATGTTACCAATTCAGGCCTGCAAAAAAATACCAAAACTATTTGCCCACTGACTGCTAGATAATAAAGATAATAAAACACTTGTGGCATGAGGGTTATTTACATGGTAACTGGCCTGTGCTTGCTAGCCAGCCACCACAATCAAAAGTAAAATTAAATTAGTAAGTAAATAAGTAAATGAATGAATTAACAAATAAGTGGGGGCATGTACACTAAATATTTAAACATAGCAACTGGGCAGTCATTGCTACCCAGTCACTAGAAAGGCCTCATCTCATGAACAACATGTGGTGGACTTTTAAATATTAAATGGGTGGAGGACAGATTATTGCCCACCCAACCTATCCTCATGATTGGGTGGGGATATATGATAAAATAAACTGGGGGGGGGGGGGCATCCTTATGTCTATCCCTGCCCCCACCCATGGTCAGTTGGTGGGCACTATTCTAATATTCATGGGGAAGGACTGTCACATAATGTCCTCTCCTTGGCTCCCACACATTGGCGGTGGGTGGGTTATTAATATTAATATTAAAGGGGGGATGACCTAATTATGTCCCCCATCAGTACCCACATATGTCAGTGTGTGCTTTAGACTACACCAGGGAAGGTGGACATGCTGTTTTCCAGACATTAATTTTTGACACTATGCAATATGAGAAAAGCACTATGATTGGTTGGCTCTGACAGGTAAGTCTTGAGAAAACTAAAACCAAAAATCTCCTTTTGGGAGAATATGTGCTATATCAGATGTGTGGTGAAAAATTATGTATAGCTGCTCTGTACATTGATTACCCTTTATTCCACATGCAATTAATATAGAAAAAAAGAAAAAAAAAAGAGTATGATATATAATTAATATATACCTCAAGTGGAGCGCAATAAATGTTGAGGAATTACTTCATAGAATCTTAATTTTATCGTATACGTCGCATACAAATATGAAAAATAAAAATAAATAATATAGTGCAGATTGTAGAACACTTGTGATACAATATATGGACTGGGATACAGCTGAGTATCTAAGAAAAAAAGATAACAAATAATAGTGCAATACTGTTGAAAATCAAAGAATGGTGCCCCCACTAATTGTGGAACTCACAGACTACAAATGTTTAAGGCGCCTTAAGGTTTTTAAGTCTTGAGAAAAGAATCACTAGTTTCTCACTCAGGAATATTATAATTAGGACTCCCACCTACCGCATGTCAGATAAGGGCATAGGGAGATGTTAGCCCACTCTTACTGTAATATGGAGGTCTTAATGACACCCATTGGCTTTTTTTCAAACTATTTAATGTGTGGACTAATTATAATATAATTAACCCTTGCAGGATTATTTAGATATTTCAGCTGAGAAATAATACTTAAAATTATAGTTCGGTTGCATGAAAGCAAACGAACGATAAATTGCAAATGTGCATCCTCCTGGATGCATTAGCGGTCCCAAATGTTATTAAAACAGTTGCTTTGTGACGCCTATTTATTGTAAAGGTTTTGGATGCAAAGCACAGACTTTAATCCAGACACTAATGCATTTATGCGATTCCTGCAGATGCGTTTGGGCTGACCGCATTTGGCTTTAGTAAATATGTGAATTGCCAATGTGGTTGGAATTCAGTAATTTTCACCAGATTGAAAATGCGGTGTTTAATGAAAAACCCTGTGAATCTCAAGTGGCAGCAAGAGGCCTACAAGGTTCTACATATTTATAGCTAACCAGATAACTTTCATAAATACTTTTCTGATGGGGCCAACAATGCAACTCACTACATAAAGATGTTTATGCCATTTTTTGATGAATTATATCAAATGAACACGAACAAGTCTTTTTTGCATAATTTTTCCATCTCAGAGATAATCTGTCCCTAACATTTTAATACTCATTGAGTATTCCCACCTTAGACCGTATAAGTAAAATATGATAATAGTAATGGCAGCATATATTAGAGTGGGCTAAAAGAGCTGTTACCTAAAGTATACCTGGCACAATTTTGCCTGTCCCATTCAAAATCCGTATTATTTAGCACAGCTGGTGCCAATAATATCCTTAGATTAAAATTGTGCAGTAAAAGTCAAATATTAACGTTTTCATGTTTCTTAATTCCTAAAATAAAATAAAATGCATTTATTTACTTTCAAATGGCATTTTCACAGGGGCGATGCTAGGTCCCGACATAAGCGGTCAGGTCCACAGAGCTCCGTGTTGGTGAGCTATAATTGCCCAAATAACGGCGGATCAGGGGACACCCCAACCCACTGCAAAGCCACAGGTGCTTATGAAAAGATGGGCAAGAGAAATAAAAAGCCGAGTCTGAATCACCCCAGATTTACCTCCGATATCAGGGATTTGCTGCGGAGGCCACATGGTGAGAGCATGCCCAATATGGCGGCGGTCCTCAACAACTTTTCAGACGACTCAGGGGACTCACTTTTCCACAGCATGGAAGACCTAGGCTATAAGGGCCCATCCAAGCCTTCTCCACTGAAAGAAGCCACCTCTCCTCCTGTCACAACTGCAATTCTAACCAGTCTGCTGGCAGATCTCAAGCAATCACTCTCTGCTGAAATTTCGCAGGAGAGGGAGGATGTCAAAGGGTTCTCTGCACGCATGGCAGCAGTGGAACAGACCACAGACACACATAGCACACAGATATCAGAGCTGCAGAAACAGGTTCAGATAGTGCTCTCAATAAAATAGTAAAAGTTGTATAAAATTAATCAGAATTATACTCACAAGAGTAGATCAGGCTCTCTGCTCTATGATGATAGCGTTGGTGGTATGATCCCCACCTGGGATATTTTTGAGAGTAGAGATGATAAAGATGATAAAAAATGATGCTAAAAATGCCAGCAAGTATAAACTGTTTTTACTCCATTTGAAAAAGCCTATATTGGTGAAACATGTTATGGATATTACTTTTATTTAATTTGAGTAAAATTCTGATTAATTTTATACAACTTTTACAATTTTATTGACTGCACTATATGTGGCTATTTTTTATTCTCTTTCTGAGTACCTGGACACCCATCTGCTGTGAACGACCCTCACCATATGCCATAAGTGGGCATTGTACCACTGTATGCGATATACGCTAGAGCTTGTCATAGCTCTGTTACATGTGAGTGCAACATCATTATTATTCACATACTGTCACATTAAGCTTTGACATATTGCACTATTAGGTTACCTTGTCTTTCTCTATCCACATACGGAGACTAAAGACACTCAGATCTACCACATCCCCCAAGCATAAAGAGCTTAACAGCTGCATCTACCTCCTGATAAGAAACATCTTTATATGTGACAATTTGTATTGTTGGGATGAGACTATTTAGTACTACCTGTTCAATTTTATGTGGCGCAGCCCTTCTTGCTCTTTTGTTTTCCTGTGTGTTATTTTGAAGGGTTGAGAGGGATCCCCTTCTTAAGGTTGCTGCCTTGTTGTTTATTATTTTCTGTTATTAAGCGCTGACCCAATTGTGTGTTTTTATATTAACCACCAATGGCCTAAAGTACAGATGGGGATCTCCTTGCTACCTTACTATACAGCACCAGAACACAGAGTACAAGGTTTTAGATGCCTCCAAAAGATGCCTGTCTAAACTGGGCTTTGGCATCAGCCCCCAGACCACCACCACTACTTTCGGGGATCCTGCTAAAATTGTTCCTTTTGTTCCTGTGACCCATGTGCAATGAATGCAACGAATACATGACTCTCTGTTTTTCTTTTTGATAGGGCATGCCCTCTATATTATGTTAATTTTTCTGTTGGCATTTTTAAAGATGTTCTACCTTCCCTACACCTTGTAAAGGTCACATTTCTTGGAACAGTCTAAGCTGAGGCCTGGAGAACCCCAGCTATTTTAGCTCCATTTAACACCAACCCCCCCCCTCCCCAGCTCCAATCACCACATTGCACTAACCAATAATGTGGAGCTGCTATTCCTAACATGTCTTCCCTTCGAATGTAAATTAATTCTCTTTCAGAATCTACCTTAACCTCTAATGTGTCACTTTAAATGCTCTATTATCTCATATGTTTGCATACAACTCATGTTTACTCCTAAAAAAAAAACAACAAAAAAACACAGTCTGACCAATTACTTTCATTACGATGTTCTTACGATAAACACCTCATTGTATTCCCTTAATTTTGCTTACCACTGTAGTCTTATTTGTCTGACTGTGGAACAAATAAAGAATTTAATTCAAAAAATTGCATTTTCACTCTACAAATACAACCAAAAATATGTAGCACATCGCGTAACGTACAACTACAACCATGTTTTCACATTTTCAGTTTCAATTCTTCTCAAGGTACTAAAACAAACAAGTCGATAACATCAATAAATCATTATGAATAATACATTGTTTTATTGTTGTTTGTATTAAATGTTTATACCAGTTGAAAATATCCAACATGGGATGAATTATACCTTTTTAGCGTCAACTAAATATTATGGTTTTTTTTGTATTTAGTTTTTTAGAAACAGAATTATACACTTTAGTTGAAACACAATACTTGAATAAAGACAGTATACTGCTGTTTAAGTAGCACTAGAGAGAAATATGTTGCCAATTCTTCCAAACACTAAACTCCTACTGCTCCTGTGAATTGCCTAAATAATAACACAGTTGTGAAGTACAGTATAACAACTGAGGGGTCATGCATCAATAAAAATCAACAGAAATCAATCAGCACGTCCCCAATTTGAGCTGGAAAATTGCCAAGTTAAATCTAATGTTTTCTCAAACTAGTGATAAAGGTTATGGGAAACACATTGCTAGTTGGCTAAATGGGTTTCTGGCTTTTCCTCTGTGGTGGTAATCTTGATTATTATATCCTTAGGCTGTCAGTTGTATGAAATATTTGAAACCATTGCATCCAGCAAACTTCTATAGAAGACTTTAAATTAGATAAGCTTTAGCATTCGTAGCTTATGAGACTCTAAAATTGTATCTTTGTAGGAAAGTTAGTTTGGAGTAGCATATCTTAAAATAAAATACCCCTTAAAGTGTAAGACATTTTTTAAATAAATAAAAATGCATTTTGTAAGCTTGAAGTGGAACATGTGTAATAATTGTAATAATGATCATGGCAATAATATTAATACCATTAATTAATATTAATTTATAATCATTAATAATAATCAGAATAATATGCATTATAAGAACTAATACTTGTACAGCCTGACAGCAGACAAGAGCAGAAGTGTGCCCATTGGCTAGTTAATGCATCTTTTTCCACTGTGTCTTACCTCAAGACAACTTTGACTTTTCAGCCTGTTTACATTGCTGCCTTGGGACACCTCTAGTGGCAATCAGTCAGACTAATTTTAGAGGTGCTTCCTGGGTCAGTGCCAGGGCCGGACTTGCCCACCGGGATACCAGGAAATTTCCCGGTGGGCCGTCAGCACCTGGGGCCGGGGAGGCAGCTGGCTGACCTGCGGCTGCAGAGGGAGCTCTTTTGGTGGCCGCAGGGGGAGCTGGCTGTTCTGTCTCTGTTCCCCCTCCCCAGCGCGCCGCTTAATGAGACCAGGGCTGGAATATGACGTGGGAGCACACACACACGTGGGAGCAGAGACAGAACAGCCGGCTCCCCCTGCGGCCGCCAAAAGAGCTCCCTCTGCGGCCTCCATCAGAGCTCCACATGCGGCCGCAAGCACACGGGTAGCAATTATGTGTGTCAGTGTGCGTGTATGTGTCTGTGTCATTTGTGTGTGTGTCTGTCATGGTGTGTCTGTCTGTGTCATGGTGTGTGTTTGTGTGTGTCTGTCTGTGTCATGGTGTGTGTGTATGTGTTTTTACTCACCTTTTTTTCCCCCACGTCGTGCTGGTCTCCCCTCGACTGGCCCTGCCTCTACAGCTGAGATCATCAAGCTTGATGATCTCAGCCAATACGCACTGACACAGGAAGCACCTCTAGTTACCATCTGAGTGTCTGTCACTAGGCAGCAATGTAAATACTGCCTTTTCTCTAAAAAGTCAGTGTTTACATTGAAAAGCCTGCACGGACAGGCTATAGACACTAGAGCCACTACATTAAGCTGTGTGTGTGTGTGTGTGCGCGCCTGCTAGTGAGTGGGCTTGCTTGTGTGTGTGTGTGTTTCTGCTACTGAGTGAGCTTATGTTTTTATGTCAATGACCTTATGTATATCAGTGAGATTGTTTGTCTATGAGGCTGTGTATCAATCAGCTTGTGTCAGTGAGATTGTCTGTGTCTGCATGTGAGTATGCTTACTGTATAATTACAAATTTTACTCTGAAAGGACCAATATTTTATATTGGAAAAAGCAATATATATATATATATATATATATATATATATATATATCTCAATCATCTAGGGTGGCAAGACATAGCCTTACATATTACATGCGACAATATATGGCGCAATGACTTATGGGGCTGGCATAGATTTTTTTTCCAGGGTTTCTTTGGAATCCCCAGTCCGGCCCAGGTCAGTGCTGCATTGATTGGCCAGCACGGCATTTAGCTCCACTCCCCCACTCCGCCTCTGTGGTTGAAATGATCAGAATTGACAATCTCAGCCAGTACAATGCTTCCCTATGGGAAAGCATTTGATTGGCTGAGATCATCAGTTTTGGAGGTGGATCGGGGCTGGGCTAATGCCAGTGGATCCAAATGGTGCTGGAATAAAAATAAGTTTTCTAAATTTTTAACAGGGAACTAACATTTTTTTTTTTTAACAAGTTTGCATGTTTGTATCCCTGACCCTATAGTGTTTATTTAAATAACTTATATATAATAGATATTTCAATTATTCTCAACTCCATGAAGAGAAGCTGTATCATACAGCAACACAATATTAACTTGATTGACATACCTTGACACAGACTCAAAAAATCTTGTCAAATGCAGAAATCGTGTTAGACCTAAGATACAATTTTACTTATTGTAATGCAAATGAAGAGAATAAACAAATCCTATTTCCAAGTCAAAGCATGTCCATGAAATGAGTGGCCCAGGTAGCGAGTGGGCATATATGATTGTCATGTTGCAAATAAACAATACATTTATGAGGTTATATATATAGTTCATTTTAGAACTCAAGAAGAGACAAACACTGACTATGGAATCTGTGCTCTAAACTGCAAGTTTCATGAATTATGAACCTATCTGATTTTTTTCGCTAAACATAACATATGAACGCCAGTGGTAATTACATGTAGGGATAATATTCAAATATGTGGATAGACAGAAAAGAAAATAACTTTCATTCTCTACAGTAATCTGTAATGATAAACACATTTACATCATGTTAACTCATGGAGGTAAAATTCCATAAATGTTAAAGCCAACTTTTGAGGGTTTTTTTTAATAAAAAAAAAATGAAATTTTCAGAAGAACTGAAAAAAATACAATGCGGAGTACTCTTACAAACTGAATTTTATTACATTGAGAACATAAAATTAATTGTGTATAAAAGCCTTATGTTTAAAATAAAAGTTCAAATTTAGTAAGTAATGAACAAAATGTATTTTTTTACTCTTTATTTTTTTATTTTTTGTTACTACAAAGGCAGGACATGTTAAGAACACATGAACTATAAGGGACCTCTTTTGACAGTACACAAGGACAGGCATCCCCCTACAAAAATAAACAAACAATGATAAATTGAAGAAATCATCAACATAAGAAACTAAGAATATTATTTTTTCTCCTCTAATCCTCCTGCAGATTTATAGTCCCAAACAAAGAGAAAGCAACAGAAGATCCAGACCTGATTCAGGAGGTCCCACTTAGCTCTGTTTTAATAAAGTGTCTATTTTATATGAAGTCATTTAAATGAAACTAGATGGAAATACTGTATCTCCATGGCTGTCAAGTTGAGAGCCAGGAGGGATTACTCTTTCAGTACAAGAGAGCTATAGTCCTCTCGTAGTGAGTTTTCTCATAGGGAAGTATCAGTATCACTTGGAGATCAATGTCATTGGTAGTCTCCCCATAGATGGAGAAAAGACGCTGCAACTGATCGCTTCCTATGTGATAAAATGCATTATTTGTGACAGTAGGAGGTTGACATTTTCCATACTTAAAAAAAATATATATATTTTTAAATTATTATTATTTTTAGGGGGGAGGGGAGTGTGGGCGGGGAAGGGGTATACCCATATCTAGTAATACCTCCAAAATTCAAGTGTGTCATTAGAAAGAAAAACAATACTAAATATTTTTCTTTTCAAAGGTTATTGCTTCCAGGCCGGACTGGCCATCGGGCATACCGGGCAAATGCCCGGTGGGCCGCGATGGCCGTGGGGCCGAGGCCGGCAGGGGATCTCCCCGGCCAGCCCCTGCAGGGTCAGCGCTACCCGAGCGCCGGCCCTGCTATGTGAATCCATGGGCCGGTGGGGAGATCAAAGATCTCCCTCACCTGCCCACAGACAGGGAGATGCGGCCGCCGGCTGGGAGAGGGAGGGAGGCAGGGAGGAGAGAGGACCGGCGGAGCTCTAACCAGCAGCTCCGCCGG